ATTGTTGTCCAAACACCATTTTTGTCGACACGAAAAACGACCCTGACGGATCAACCCAACCCAGATCCACAACCCACGTTTTTTTGTCCTTGCTCTGCTCAAATTCTTCCTGCAACGCCATCCAGCAAATAATTATTCATCGAAAATAGTTATTGTTTTGTATGTTTTTAACCAAATGAATTTGCATTGGATAACCGAAGGAAGCAAAAACAAACCCACTAGATTCACCAAATCGTGGGTTGACCCATGGCGAAATAAAGTTCCACCTCCGGCAAATCCAGGGCACAATTTTGCAGGGTTCACAAAAAACGCGTGGATCCCGGTAGCTATGATTACCCAGGTGGGATGGATATGGGATGAAGGAAACCGCATGAAAAAAAACGGGTGAAACCTAGTGAAACGGTTGTCAAGTGCCCACGAATATCATTGACATCCTGAACATGCCGCGTTTGGTCAATCCCAATCATATGTTTTCCTCCATTGAAACCACGAACAATTTCAATATTTGCCACGGTAAATCATTAATACATGTTCTTCGCAATTAGGTCAAGAATTCGTTCAATATGGTCCAATGAAATTTCAACCTGATTGGGCCCCATGCCGCGCCTTGAGCGGCCACACGCCAGGCACCAAAAAGTAGATTGCGGCCGCTGCAGCGGCCAGGACGAAACTCGTGATCTCGGTTGACACAACGGTTTCGTATTCATGATTCATGTTGTGTTTTCAAGGTGTTCATGTGCGTCGCTAAGAAACATAATGAAAAACCCGTGAAACCACAGGAAAGAAGAAAAATATGACAAAATACATCGGAAAATTGTTGTTGCACACATGCACTTCACAGCCCGTGTTTTTTTGTGGCAAACAGGAAAGCAAAACCACCTTGTTAAGAATCATGGCCAACATTTGGGCCTGTGATCCACTACTCTCGTTCCCAGTTTGCCAGTTCATAAATTTTGTTGTGTGGGGTAGCCAAGCAAACACTTTCGGACAGATTTACGGTTGGCGGTTGCCGGTTGCCTTTCATTTTTGCCTCCTTCCCAACGTCGGCATCATCTCTAACATTGCAATTTCAACAGGTGTTGTGATGGCGTGATCCGTACAAAAAGGATATTTAAACCATCATCGCAACCTAAAACAATTTGATACAATATGATTTGTTTATGACCTTCCCGGGGGTGATCGTGCTGTTCTCAATTGAAATACATCCAAGCGGGTAACTCTTTATCATTCGCCAACCTGAAACGCGCCGCTATTTGTAGGACCCCCTATGCACTCGTCACTTCAAACGCGGCAACCGTTAAAGTTTCCCCACTACGTTCCCATAAATTTTCTATGAGAAAACATCCTGATGACAATGGTTAACCGGTGGGTTGCCACTTTTGATGGCTGAACAAGCATATGCGATCGGCCATAAATAAACTTCCGTCATGGAGCCATCAGTTCCTCTCACCAACCCTCATCGTGAAAGCATGCGCAGTTCGCTTCCACACAGGGCCGTGCCAACGTTTCGTATTGCTTACAGTATGGCAATTTCACCGAGATCACCATGAGCCGAACGTTGTTAGGACCTTAAATTTAGAAATAAAAATTTTACGGATGCAACAAACGGTTTTCGATGACGAACGAATTAAGGCCAAGGTGCAATCAACAATCCTGCAGTGTCCGCCCGGTAGCTTTCGGAGAGGATACTGTCCATGGTGGCAATCGCATCCTTCATGCCACGAAGCAGGCCGCGTGCAGCACCCAACCGTGTTTTTAGGATTTTGTTTCTACTACGCGCTTTTAAAGAACCTTCCTTTTTCAAAGATGCAAACACGAAATTTCGCATCAACAAACAACCAGTGTCCACGAGGTGGAAAAACACCGATTACTTTACTTCGAGTGATCCCTACCGTGACCAAACAAAAACTGTCATAGCTTCTGATACTTCATATGGAAGTATATATGATATATTTGGTATATCTTTTCTGACATTCTATTCTAGCATTCTATCTGACAGTTTAATTATTCTGACATGAAATTTTGACAATATATTTTGACTTTCTATTCTGGCATTCTATTTGGCATCTATTTTGACATCCTATCTGGCATCCTTTCCCGCATCTATTCTGGCATTTGTTCTAATCTTTTTCCCGTCTTCTAATTATCTGGCATCTATTCTGACATTCTTTCCCGCACTTTTCTGGCAGTGGCATTCTATTTGACATTCTTTTCCGGCATGCTATCTGGAATCTATTCTGTTCCATTCTGGCATTGTATTTTGCCATTCTATCTGGAATTTGTTCTTGCATTTTTTCTCGTTTTTTTTTCCGGTTCATTCTGCCATTTCTTTGTGCGTTTTATTTGCCTTTCTATTCTGATCATTTCTGATTATTATTTCTTTTCTACTCTAACATCCACGCTGACAAGGGCACTGCCGAACCTCAACCGCGAGCGCCAGATCTCAATGGGCAGTGCCCGTGTCTGGCGCTCGCAATGGGGGTCCGGCAACGCCTACTGAGATCTAGAACTCGCAGGTGCGGTCCGGCAGTGCCCACTGAGATCTGCAGCTCGCTGTTACTGTCCGGCAGTGCACAGTGCGATCTGGAGTTCGCAGTTGAGGTCCGGCAGTGCCCATTGAGATGGGGAGTTCGCAATTGGCAGCTGCGCCACTGAGATCTGGAACTTCCAGTTGAGAGCCCACTGAGATCTTGAGTTCGGGGTTGAAATCCGGCAGTGCTCAGTCAGACCTTGAGGTCATGGTTGAGGTCCGGCAGTGCCCACTGAAAGCTTGACATGAGCTGCGAGAAGCAATGCGGAGGAAGGAGGAGGAAGGAGGAGGAAGGAGGAGGAAGGAGGAAGGAGGAGGAAGGAGGAGGAAGGAGGAGGGAGGAGGAGGAAGGAGGAGGAAGGAGGAGGAAGGAGGAGGGAGGAGGAAGGAGGAGGGAGGAGGAAGGAGAAGGAAGGAAGGAGGCAAGAAACTCTGATAAAATCTAAAGACCCTCAGCTGGCAGGTGGCGAAAACCATGATAAAATAACTGCATCACCCTTGCAAAAGCCTGCGATGGAACAAACACATGACATCTGGCTGCAGGCCCACCGTACGGAAAATAAAAAATCCATGAGAAAAAATATCAACCACGTATGAATTATGTTTACCAGTGCACATCCTTCGTCCTCAACCTTTGCCGACATACCATGATCAAATGATGATATAACAAAGGTGATTCTTGCGTTGGGGTGGTACGACCCCACTTATTGAGAATTGTTCGTGGTCAAGTCATTGCGAAAGGACTGTAAAAAAATTGAAGCCGCTGCCTGATGCAACAACAGCTCCGGAAGCGAGTGGTTTCGCTCCGTCTGCAGAAGGCCTGGTTCTCGAGATGCTCGTGAGATTTGGGGACATACGATTAGGGCTGATGGAATTGATCATGACCGCTATGAGTTCATGGATCTTTATATTTTTTGGGTAGTGACTATACGTATACCCCCTTAACAATTGGAATTATAGTTCCTCCCAACGATTTTATTCTAAATAGCCTGCCGGACGTATTTTTCGCCCGTACTACCATTTTACGGTTGATACAGTCGGTAGGTCTGAATTTTGTAAATGCTGGTCGTTGCGACACGTCATCTGGTGGGAAATTGTGACATTCAAAACCGTCAACGCAATCTGGATTTTGGATATCCCGGTTGAAATGCAGGGGCTTACGTTGTGCAAACAAAATTTGATCGCTATACAGAATACAAAACCCAGCTGGTATATCAAAACACTACCTGAGTCTAGTTGACCCTTTGCAAAAAGCATTGGCAACCCATGCCCTTAGCAACAAAAGCTGTTTTTACATCCAACCCTTTGGTGATCATTCTTCTCATTAGTTCGGTTCCAGAAATGTTGTTTTTGTGTAATTTTTGTTTGGCCGGGTCAAACTTGTTTGAAACAAACAATTTGGATTTTTTTTGGTGTGAGGGGATCCCTCAACATCGTGAACTCGATCAAAACGTATTTGTACAAAAAAACATGTGGGAATTTCCACTGTGAAATGCGGATGACATCTCGCATTTGTTTCTACGTTATTCGAAGATCACAGACGCGGGCCTTGACAGATCTTGACAGTGGAAGCCTGCATGCCTTGCCTGAAGAAACATTTCGCCTCATCCCAACATCCCATAGCTGCGGCAACACCAGCTATCCGGCCTTTGCTTTGAGCTGGGTATGCCTGGCAACCCCGCCAAGGGACAAAGACTCATGATGACTCATGCAACAAATGCAACCCTTCGCGCTGCCGAATGGCAGCTGCATGTGCCACGGCAAATCTCAACTCACAGCCCGACAGTTTGTAACAGAATTTGGTTCGCCTGTATATTTTTCTGGCAAGGCCCCACCAACAACCACATAGAATCATTGTGTGGTTCGTTTGCATTTGGCCCCATGATATGCAACAAATCATTCTAGTAAAACCATATAGCACAAACCATTCCAGAAAACAAACTGGAAGAACGACGCGCAAGGCAAATTCAAAATCAGGAGGCCGAAACCCATGTGAGGCCAGCCAAGTGTGCTGAACCACACAGGAATAGTGATGAAGTCCATGTGCAAACATTTCGTCTTTCAACTTCAATGGTGCAAATTTGGGGTCTAACCGATTTCCTTCGCAGGCAATTGTTTGTTACCATTTCGGTTCGTTTTTCGTTCATTCTAACGTGGAATTGTTTTCTGCAAACCATGTGTCTGCATGTGTGTTTGTGTGCCGACCCGGTCCCGGATTTCTTCTGTGTGATCATGACGTTGTCAAACGTTATGCCTTAAAATAAGCGTCTAATGGGAAGAAATGCATTACGAAATTGAACTGATGATAAAGACATTGATACCCTGAAAACAACGAAACTGATTGCAGGGACAGAAGTGGTTGCCCAAGTGTTTTTTTTTGTTTGTCTCGTTTGTTTGAAGCACTTCTCGATTTGTGCTGTGTTTTCCCAAGTTCACGCGGCACAGCAGCGCCTTTTCACAGGCAGGGGCCTTATGTAAAGGCCTGTGGCACAGTAGCGCGTTGGCCTATGTTTAGGCCTATGGAAAAAGGGTTCCCTGGCTGTCGGCTGCGGCGAAACTTAGCGATGGCCTTCCATTGGGATGCGGTCTCAGGCATAGGGAGCGTGATGGCATAGATCAGGTTCTCCTCAAAGGTTTCCTCCGGTACCCACATTGCAGCATCGGCATTGCCTCGATTCAGCATGTCCTTCATTCTCTGAGCTTCATCACGTTCATGTCGTGCCCGTGCGCGTTGGAAGGGTTCATGCTCGAACAATGGGCTGGTAGGTGGCCCAGGCTCCATGCGAGGCATGTAGCGTGGATCTTCCAGCAAACGTTCGAGGTCCATTTCTTCAGGGCCTTCCAAGTCATGATTGCCTGGAGCCGGAGGTAGGTCTTGATCGCCATGGGGCATGAACTCCTCCGCAATGGGTGGTTCATACGGCTCACTTGGAGGTCTGTCATTCATCACCACTTCCTCAGGTTTGGCTCTTGTAGGTGGTGCAGCGGGGTCTCGGAGTCGAACTTGATCTCTTCGTTTGTCCACCACGCCCAGGACTGGGGGAGCGTCATGAGGTCGGCCTCGTTGGAGATGGGGTAGTTCCACCAGATCATCGTAGGTGCCCTTGTCCAACACGCTGGTCACATCAGTGAAAGTCCAGGGTGTAGCCAAGATGTCGTGGAACTCCTCGTTGGTCAGTTTCTCTCGATCGGATGCATGTCGAAGTTGATTAAGTATGCACCCTTTTCAGCCTTCCTTGGCTGATGAGCCATGCCATACGATGAAGTTGTCTGACTTGGCCCTCATAGGCCACCTTTGTCTCAAGGCCAAGGATCCTGGCCGGTCCAAACCATCGTGACACTTGACGTCTCGGCACATCCAGTTTCTGATGACTGCGGTTCAGCAGGAGTTTGATGTCGCTTGTAGATGCTTGTAGTAGATTAGGTCGCCAGGATGATAGGCTCTTGCCGCCATCGGCTTGATGTTCATGGCCCTGCTCAGTTTTTCCAAGTCCATGAATTCTTTGTACTTGGTCTTGGCCTTTTCTCGCATACCATACCAACGATCTTCTGGAACTTCTCGGCGGTGCTCAAGGAGCTCCAAAAAGGATCATAAAGGTAGATCAGGACCATCATGAAGTCGATCTGCCTCAGCGAAGTCCTTTCCAAAGCCCCATTGGATAGGTGAGTAGCCACCTCGTCGAACCATTGAGTTATACACCATGCAGCAGCCACTGGATCATTTTTTTCCACGTAGATGAGCTTGAAGTTTGGTTTTCAGTTTTCCAATTGCAGATTCCACCTTGCCAATCTGTCCATGGGTTTCGGCAGGAACGAACTCAAATTCAACGCCATGCGTGCCGCCCCATCCTCCAGATCTCGGCCACGATGTCCACCTTCCTTGTCCAGCTTGAACTTCTGAAGCTATCCAAAGTATTGGACCCACGACCTCAGGATTCCATGAAGGATCTCAGCCGTAGATGGGTTGCGCCTTTCCTGGATGGGATGCTTGAAGAGGTAGTTGAGCACGGAGTAGCCAGAGGCCTCGTCCACCATCAGCTGGAAGTGGTAGGTCCCCATGCCGTCGTAAAATTCAAAGTTGTCCAGCAGAACCACTTCCCAGAGACCCTCTGCTGTCTCCAGGGCGGAGCCACGATGTTGAGGGTTCGCCATCCGTGATTCTTCGCAATCCATGCAGTGCAAGTTGCTGGCAATGGTGAATGGTGATCATCCGGATGGTTGCACCTCGATCACGTACCATTCAAGTGAAGGTTTGGCGTGAAGGATGTCCCAGCTCCTTGTGGAGTTTCAGCAGGTTGGTCGCCCACTGTTGTAGTTGATGCTTGCAAAGCCCCAGGTCCGGTTGTTCACAGGCTATTCTTGAGAAACTTCGGTCGCCGTTGCTCACAAGTTTCTTGGATTTCAGCACTTTCTTGCAGACCTTGTCACGTCCTTCTTCCGTCAGCATGTTGAGTTCCTGGATGCACGATGTTGGACCACATGGAAGTGATATCCAATCTTCCTCCTGATCCCCCACTGCGATCACTGTGCTCTCGTGGGGCTCGGCTGTCTCCTCTGGTCACAATCACCTTGGTTTTCGATACTGCCGGTTGTGGTCCCGAGGGTTCCCGAGGGATATCCCTTGGCCATCTGTGACTGTTCCCACTCGGCCAAGGACACTTTGGCCTAGGCGGAGCATGTTGGAGCCGGACTTGGAGCCCGGCCCGAGCTTGGCCACTTGCATGGTGGCCCGGTCGTCCGCGGATCTCGGGGATCCGCCATCTGTGTCGAAAATCTCCGTCGGAGGCGGCTTCTCGATCTTGGTTCTCTCGGTCGTTGCCTTCTTCGGCGCCATGGCAATGACCGGTCGCAGAACGGTCGTGGGCAAGTGATGACATCACTTGGTCCCGTAGATCTTGCGATGGCACATGCATAAGTCGGTGGGCGTCCTCGCAAACTTGAAGTTGATCGTCATGACATACATCACCACGATTCATCATCACCGAATCATCATTTGACAACAACAGCAACATGTCGGAGTGTGACATCACTAACAAATTGACATTTTGTTGTGACCTCGCCTCACTGTCTTCTGACCTTGACTTGATTTCACTCCCATCCCCAAGCGCCTACACCATTTATACTCGACCACCGGCAGATGCCATCGGTTGACCTTGTGCCAACCAATTTTCAGTCAAATCTACCAGCAAATGCACGGCAGCGTTCTTCTGCCGGAGAATCCTGATCTTGGCATCCACGTTGGTGAGCAGCAGCCAGCCACCGTCACATCCACAATCGCACCTAGTTTTGTAAGGGCGCGCAACCGGCACCTTCTCAGCCATGAGGGTGTAGATGCCCAGGAGGACCTTCTTGGCGCCAACATGTAGTGGAAGTAGAAAATAGTTCTCGCTTTGCTTCACCTGACCATTTCCAACGCGAATCAACTTTTTGGCCTCGGGCATGACACGATCTTCGTCATGTTCTCCGGGATGAAGATGTCCATGTTGATGTCGACGTTGTAAAACCTTGTCAATGGTTTCCGAAGACCAAACAGTCTCGGCTGCGCCCACATCGAACACACCAAAGCCAGCCGTAGCTGGAACTTGTAGAAGAGGCACCTGGTGGTCTTCCGCCACCATGAGGATCAGGCTCGAAGGGTTCAGGCTCTCCACCATGAAGGAGGCGCCCTTTCCAGGTTGGTGGGCATTCGACGTTGAAGTTTGAACTCAACATAAATGAGGAGGTAGTAAAAGAAGTAAGAACACCACCGCGCCCTTGACGTCGATATAATCCTTGGCCTTTGCCCTTACCCTTCTTGCCCTTCTTCATGGGGTAGGATACAAGCCACGTGATTGGCCGTTGGCACGCTGATAAGGTTCTCGCCTTTGTCTCGTAGGCCGAGTGGGCCTCATCCAACTCCTTCGCCTGCTCGGCCGTGAGGCCTTCATAGTCGTCCATCTCGGACGTCCAGTAGTTGCCATAGCCGTCAGCTTCAAACCATTGGCAATAGTTTTGCCGGACATATCCATGATAGCCATCCACATTCCCAGACCAGTAGATCTCCTCATCGTCCTCCTCGATGCGCGTTTTGTCATGTGGATGACATACCTCAGGAGGTAGTGAATTGCCAACCCAGTGATCTTCTTGAACGGTTACTTCTTGTTGGTCATCAGGAAGTGCAAATCATCCCCAAGTTCCATCTTCCTCGACCCAAAACGTCCGTCGATGGCGGTGAGACGCGGTGAGTTTGTTGTCGCTGAAGATCGTTTCAGAACTCCCTGAAGCGCCGGGACATCAAAAATGCCCAACGAGAGCAAGAAGAAAAATTACTTCATCGTGCTGGCAGATTGGCTCGCCGTAGGAGGAACCATCCCAACGTAGTTCGTCGTCGGACTCCTCCTCATCGATGCTCTCTTTGTCCTTGGGTTCCTTCAGCCACCCACGCCATTGCTCAGGCGTCCAACGGTTGTACCAAGAAGTCCCACCTTGCCATTGCATCATATTGATCACCGTCTCCTTGAGCAGGTTGATGGGCTAGTCCAAGTTCTTCGGCTCCTTAAGCTCGTCCATGCGTAGGTGAGTTTGTTGTAGGGTTCCTTCTCACACGTCCACCTGGCGAGCCGCCAGGAGACACAGGCTGTGACTGCGGTTTGGACGCAGTCTTCCGATCCACGTTCCGATCCACGGAACAGCTGCTTGACATAGTTTGGACCTGAAGAACTCCAAGAAGTACTTGACGCCAGATCGGCTGCTAAACTTCGCATAGTCCAGCCCGGGAGTCAATGTCCAAGCTCTTCCGGTCAGCCTGGACGCTAGCTCTGGCACCAACAGTTTCCCCTTGTGCGGTTCCATTTTTTTGTCCTGCAAGCGCGCCTTCCTGGCGTAGTCCGTCCATGTACTTTGGCCTTCCATGTCACGCAGGTGTCCTTGGCTTGGCGAATGCGTAAGGCTCGACCAGGAAGTTGGTGTCCAACTAGGAGGTCAGGTAGCCAGGACGTGGTTGTAGACGATGGCAGGGAAGTAGTTGGATCCAAAGCAGCAGCCACCAAGAGGATGTCGTGCAGGGAGAGGTCGACGTAGTAGCGTCCAAGCGCAGTCGCCACGCTCCGCTACCAATGCAATGGCAAAATCGGTTGCTTGAGTAGTTTTTCTCGTTTGTTTGAAGCACTTAGCGGTTTGTGCTGTGTTTTCCCAAGTTCACGCGGCAGAGCAGGGCCTTTTCACAGGCAAGGGCCTTATGTAAAGGCCTATGGCACAGTTACGCGTTGGCCTACGTTTGGGCCTATGGCAAAAGGGTTCCCTGACATTGGGCATTGGGCCATAAAAGGGCCACGAAAGGCATAATACGTTCATGCCACAACATGCCAAGGTAAAGGGTGTGAAGGCAACATGTGTTTTACCCGGAGCAAGATGATGATGATGATGATGATGATGATGGATTGCTGGATTGATAGATGGATGGATGGATGGATGGATGGAATGATTGAGTGAGTGAGTGGTTGAATGGTTGAGTGGTTGAGTGATTGAGTGATTGAGCGACTGGGTGATTGGTTGCTGATTGACTGACTGACTTGTTGATTGCATAGTTGATTGGTTGGTTGACTGATTGATTGATTGATTGATGGAATAATGGATTGATGGATTGATGGAATGATGGATGGATTGATCGATTGATGGAATGATGGATGTATTTTGGTGGGTTGGTGGATGGATGGATGGATGGATGGATGGATTGATTGAGTGAGTGCGTAAGTGAGTGAGTGAGTGAGTGAGTGAGTGATTTATTGATTGATTGATTGATTGGTTGGTTGGTTGGTTGATTGGTTGATTGATTGAGTGGTTGGTCGATTGGTTGATTAAATAAGTGAAAATGAAAGAAGGAAGGAATGAATGATTGATTGAATGATTGAATAAATGAATGGTTGATGATTGATGATTGATGATGATGATGATGATGGTGATGATGATGATGATAATGATGATGACGATGATGATGATGATGGTGGTGGTGGTGATTGTGATGATGATGATGATGATGATTGACATTGGGGATGATGCCAAGCTGCTGGTTAATTTCAAAGGGGGATGGTGCTGGGTCAAAAGGCACAGTGGAAATGATGTGATTCAGTTCACGCGCTGGAAACGCAACATCTTGATCACCGTCGTGCACTTGTTCTTTGCCCCAATGGGCAGCTCAAAAAAAATACGTCTCCCGGAACATGTCAAAATCACAACTGAATATGCGATTATGCCGCCCGTCGCCCATAGGGATCCATGCAAAACACTTCAGAAAAAACGCATTGGGCTCCAGCATCATCACATGCCATACTCCACGCCAAGTTGTTGCAATCCAGGCATCTGTTTTGTTCGTATCGTTTCCTTGCATCGAACGTGATCATACCTGCACACATTGACACCTATCACTGTGTCCACGCCTCAGGTGTGAAGGCCACCGCAGCCCCAGCCAAATTGAGAGAAAGTAAGGTGTACCTGCCCCAAAATCGCGACCAAAACGGTTTCATGCATGAATTATGAATGTTTTGGTGGACGGTAGTGCCTCATGGTGAAGATACCAGACACTCAATGGGAACCAAAGGCGCCCTTGAAAAGAAAACATATCATTCATTATCATGCTAGGAGGCGCCTCTAGTTTGCACAACTTTGTTTTGTCACGCTACGGATTATCGGTTCCTTGCCCAGGCGGCATTAATCCTCACAATGCTAACATTGCCCCACTTGCAAATATCGTCTGTTGCAGCGCTACACAAGCTGCGGTGTGTTTGCGGGAATTCGAATAATTTCCTTTTGTGTGATGCCCTCTGTGGCACATGTTGCCGGAAAAACGGACTTGCCTTATAATATATGTATATACATATATATACAAATATAATATTACAAGAAAAATCGTGCAAATTTTCAATTTATATTCTATCCCACGCGTATTTTGACATTTCTGTGCCATGTTGTCTCACACTGACACTGCGCCACTGCCCTTACCGGCAGGGAGGGCCCGCCCCAAGCACGGACGGCCCCCAAGAACACGTCCTTTCTCGCTGCCTTTTTCGGTACTCGTTTTTTACAGTTTTGTTATTATTCCCGCATTTTTTCTCCCAGCAAATTAACCCCTGGAAATGAAAATGGCTGATGCGGCCAGAGCGAGAATGAAAATCGGCACGCATGAGACTTATGATTGG